GCGGTGGCCCGTAGAGGCTCTTCTGGATCTTCTTGAGGCCCAGGTGGGCGATTTCTAGGATGTTGAGGAAGAGGGAGACTGCGGCGATGCTGTTCATGAAAACCATAAAGATGGTCTTCTCTGTGGGTCGGGACACAAAACAATCCACCGTGTTAGGGCAAGGGGGCCGAGTGCATTTGTAAAGGGGGGACATGTGAAACCCGTATAAAAGATACTGACCTATCATAAAGCCCACTTCAACCACCGACCGGGTCAGGATATGTAGGACATAGGTGCGCAGCAGGGACCCTCTCAGGGGTGCCTTATTCACTTTCTTCTGTTCCTCCAGCTTACGCAGTTCCCTCTCCACTCTCCTGTGTTCCTCAGGCATGGGCTCCAGCTCTTCTAGCTGAGCTCGCAGGTGGGCTTTCCTCTTCTGTCGCTCCTTTTCGAGAGCCCTTAATCTGTAGAGCGCATGGCCCATGTAAACTAGCGATGGAGAAGAGACAAAGATGATCTGCAGCACCCAGTATCTGATCAAAGAGATAGGGAAGGCTTTGTCATAACAGATATTGCTGCAGCCAGGTTGCTCCGTGTTGCAGATGAACTCAGACTGCTCATCATCCCAGACATCTTCAGCAGCCACTCCCAGCACCAGCATCCGGAATATGAACAGGATTGTGAGCCAGATTTTGCCAACTATGGTAGAGTGGATGTGCACTTCTTCAAGGATGCTGCCCAACAGGTTCCAGTCCCCCATGGTCAGAAGTTCATATCTGAAATACAAAACACCCCCACATTATTTTACTACAATACTAGATTTCTTTTGGAAATGGCCTTTTTAAAAAAATAATTATATTTCATATACATTCTTCTGATAGCAGGACAGCTCTTAGAAGTTCATCATTATTTTCTACTTAATGGGTCTTTAAATGAAGGCAGACTTTATGATTACTGGTGAAAGATGCAAATGTGAGATTATTTTAAGCTTGAGAGAGATTGATTTCAGCTGTAAGCCACAGTTCTTCTTAACTGCCTACAGTTTTACACTATTTTCTTCCCACTAGGAAAGAAGACTTTTTTTTTTCCACTTTGCAAATCCTTTGCCAACTATAGTTTAATTCTACACCCACTCCATTCCACTGTCTGTGGCTTTGCTGTAGTTTTGGGTGAAAAGCAACTAGAATAATATATAACGCTCATGACTTTCTTTTTTTTCATAAAGTTTTGAGACATATCCTATAACTGTGGGAGAAAAATATTCCATTTTGTACCCCAAGGTAGTAGCATTATTAGTGCCATCCATCCAATACTTTCCCATCTACTAGGGTAACCATCCAGAATTTTGTCCCTTGGATTCCTAAAACTCCAAATACAGAGCTGATTTACACATAGATGTACATGTATAAATAGTCTCAGTTCTAGGATAATGTTAATAAATTATACTGCTTCTAGGATTAATATCTTTAATTTCATGCATTTAAAGTCTTACGGAATCACCAAGACTTTGTTTTAATTCTAAATTTCAACATATGAGATAAATAAACAAGGATTACATAATGGAGTGAAGTGGAGGCTTTTAGCTTTGAGTGTGTGACGATTTTTTTAACTACCTCTTTCCCAGAAGCTCTTTGATTCACCAGCAAATTGATGTACCTTCTGCTGCCAGATGCTTGATTTCCAAGTTGTTTCTCTGGAAACTATTCAGGACCTTCAGGTAATGTAGGAAATTGAAATGTAAGGTATTTGTCTGTTTATTTGTGAATGCACTGCACATTCAGCGTTGTGTCCCCGGAATTTTTTTCTGCTAATGTGGTAATAAAATATTGAAAGCAACTGGGATCATGTCTACCTTAGAGTTCGCGCTTGCATTTTTTTTATGCTACTGTACTTTCAAAACTTCCCAAATTTCACTAAACCAGAACCTTTAGTAAAGTGCAATTTCTAAGTTTTTTTAAGAGCCGCTGGTTGCAGTACCCAAAATCTTACATAATTTTAATTGATAGCACAGCTGGGTGATATCGCCATTATCAATATTGCTCACTTATGGTTTATGATATGATCCCATGCAGCACAATTGTGCTTGGAGGCTGTATTTATCTACACTGCAAATAAAGATTCTTAATTGTAACCAACAGTGCAGTCATTCTCTGCATAGACATCCTACAGACTTCATTTTTTAATTTATAGGATTTGTTTTATTCTCTGCAAATTTCAGTCAACACAATGAACTTCGCTTTTGGCACAGGAAACTCGTTGAGGGAACCTAGCCAGTCAAGCAATTTCTTAGGTGCTGTGATGCACCTGGAATATCTTCTTTCCTTACTCCTTCCCTCCCATGTCTATCATTGAAATAAGATACATGAAAAAAAAAGAAGTCAGCAAGAATTATTGTAGCCTCTTTTCCTCATCTTTAAAGAACAATGTCAGATCTTTCTTCTGACTTCATATGGGGTTTTTTTCAGAGTGGATATCAAATTTTTGCAACTTCATCGGTTGGGTGGGTGTAAAGATGTTCATAAATTGAAATGTTTACTAGAAAATATTACATCTCAAGCTACGAATGTTGAATCTGTTATTGTGAGCTTGGAAGCACTGATACAGAATGGTTCACCTTCAGTTAAGTGAGAAATAGAGATTTAGATAGAGCAAGCTCCCAAACCCAGAGTACTCAAGAGGCCAAGTAGGAATAGGTGACACTTGCTGATTGCTCTGTACCACTTCCCTGAAAGGTGACTGGATGATGGTGATGCAACAGTTAATCAAAGAGGCTTTGGGTCTATTTGCTGCCTTGCGAATGGCTGGTCCCTCACTGAAATTGATAGACTCTGCCAAAAATAACCCACAACCCAAGTGAGATGCTAAAATGTAAACCTGGGAATAAAAGGGAAAGGAGACATGTTTTAATCCCAAAGATGGCAAGATAGCATTCCTCTAGCTCTAGGAATTATCATCGCCCATTTTGAAGCAGAAAATTAATGTACCCATTTGGGGGAAGAGAGGACAAGAGGAGGAGTATAAACATACCACTCTGGCTTTATAGATGTGCCTGTTTCTTAAGTTGTTTCTACCAGTATTTAAACAACTCTATCCTCATCTTTCCTTCATAATGGCCAACAGGGGAGAGGAATTATAGGAGTGGTCTAATTCCACTCTCTAACTGAACTCATTATTCCAAGACACTTTCCCTCAAATCTGCACCAGTAGAACTGTAGTATGAGTACTGACATGGTGAACATTGTGTATAAAGCAAAGAAGTTAGTCTAGAGCCACAAAAGCCAGAGTTTCTAAGAAATCAGCCAAAACTGCTTTACAACCTTGTCATAGCAATGTGCATCTGATTTTTCCGTCCTTCCCTTCCCTGGTCTTATTTGAGCTCTTTGTAACAAAGTATTTCAGGTTACTGTAAGAGCGTAATTATTACATAATTATTATATCATTATTTCCAGTCTACTTGTGTACTAGAAATTCTAGTATTCTAGTATACCAGCCTACTATACTAGAAATATACCAGTTTTAGTATAGATTGTACATATCTGAGACATTTTTCATTATACCATCCGCCTACCTTTGTGTCTGTCCAAATATTTTTATGTGGTTATTTCAAACAATAAAAATTCATGCCTGTAATCAGTTAGAACAAGATGGAAATCCACCATTTCTCTTGGAGGGAGTTTCTTACTTTATTTTAGAGTTCATTTGATAATTTGACACTATTAAAATAAATTCTATATTAAATTTATGCCAGGTTTTTATCAGCTGTGATTTGAAAAAGCAGGGTAGAATCTTACATTTCTTGTAAAAAAAAAAGTTAAATGCTACGATACAAATACCCCGGGTTTAATTCGCATTGCTTCGAGTTTGACAGGGACCTGCCTGCTCTGTACTGCCCTAGGAAGAATTATTTTTCTGCCACTTACCTTAGAAGAAAGCCCTTGGTTAGTCTATCCTAGAGCATTGCAGAAGGAGCACGCAGCACTGCTGATCGCTATAGCTCAGAAACCTTCCTTCGGTAGTGCTAGGACATCGTTTTTTCTCCAAGAGCCAAAGCATAGACGTGGTACACTGAGCAGACTTCTCAGTTCTTTGTAGCTGGATGCCAAGATCACTCAGTCTAAACTATCCATGCACAGTTTAAAAATCAGTAGATGATAGGATGGTGCCTCTAGCCAAAATTATCATGCAATTATTTTAGTCAGTGGCATCTAACAAAGCCATTCCCTCAAGGCTCAATCTGTACGGCAATGGTTTGCAACATCCCAATGCCTTGTTTTAGTCGGTTCTTCAAACATTTCTCCTCCACCCAGGTCCCAAATGAAATTTTATTTTGTAAAATGGCTAAATAGGCAGCCTTTACAGTACGATAGATTCTTACATTTTCTTTACATTCCATTAGTTTCGCTTTGAATCGATGCCCAAGGATCGATCGGTCATGTCCGATTTCATACTCTGTTGCCTGGTGAGTTAATTTAGGATGCGTTAGACTGAGTCTTTGAAAATGGAGGCCACAGGAACCGCAACTCAAGTCTTCAGTTAGAAACACAGGCTTTCAGCACAGTAACCCTTCTTCAGCTGGGTGAAAGAGCCACCCCCAAGCCCATTCAGAATTGGTATCTGCGAGGGACAAGGTTTAAAAAAGGAAAGTGAGTTGCCAAAATGGGGTTTTGTGAGCAATCAGGGCTACCAGAGCTGAGGCTCTGGTCTAAATTTTATGGAAATCCTGAGTATCTTTTTTTTTTTTTCTCTCTTGCTCCAGAACTTCCGTCCCTTTCTTCTATCCTACAAGGTGTGTGACTGATTTCCACTTCAGCTTCTTCTCCCTAAAGGTATTCCCACTAACCAGTGGCCAGTTCTCAAAAGACACTAGCTCCACCTCTTCTTTGGGATTACCTCAGATTTAGGTACCAGTGCATCCCTCTCTCTTACACAAGCTGTGCTCGTCTCCCTGAACGTCCTGTTTAAATACGCCTTCAGAGCCTTGCCCTGCAGCAGATAAGGTGACTATAGCATCTTTCCTCTAAGCCTCAGTCTAATGCAGCAGATGTATGGTTTATGCATATGTTACAAATGCTTTAGGGACAGTAGCGCTACACTATTTACTCCTGAGAGATGTGTTAATATTCATCCAAACCACCCAGACCTCCATAGGACTTTCTCATCCATGCACTCTCATGTCCATGTACTCTCAGGTACCTGTCATTGGCATTTTATTTTCATGCCTCTTCTTTCCAAATTCAGTCACAAAGTCCCTATGGCTTTACCTTGATGCTTCAGTAATCTCGGAGCTTTGACTCAGACCAGGGCGCCCAGCGCTACCTCACCAGAAGGTGGTGTTGACCTAATGTCTCCAGCAGCTTCCACAGCTTCCAGGTGTTTCTCAGGAGCACTCTCTTCAGCTCTGCTCACTGAGAGAACTTCAGAACTGGGCAAGAGCTGCAGCACCTGTGATTTATTCATCCCGTCGGAGAATGCACTTTGTTGCTCACTGCAGAAGCAGCTTGTTCTTGGCCCAGCATATTTCTGTCCCACCTCTTCTCCCCCTCAGCAGGTCACAGCAGCAGAACCGCTGCTGCCTACCTCGCTCTGCCCTCTGCTGTAAGGTTTTGGTTTTCTCGGGGGACAGGGGAGGTGACAGTAGGCTGCTAAGGGAGAATTTGCTGTGTTTCTGCTTTAGCAGCAGAATAATTGATGTCGTTAAAGGACTGCTCACATACTGTGAGTTAACCCCAGCCGGCAACCAGAACCACGCAGCCACTTGCT